CTCTAGGATCATCTCACATTTGGGGTCCCATTTTTTATCATTTTCAGCCTTGCTCTTGGCTCTGGCTGGGGCTGGCTCCTAATATAACCACCACCAAACCCCAATGACACCCCTTTATTCACTCATTCATTCATTCACTCATTCAGCAAATATTGCCTCTTTTGCCCAAGATCTGAGGCTTTCCTATGATAGATAAGAAGTGCCCTGGTTAATTCATACTAAAGTGTGAAGGGCTGCTTTCTTAACTTTTTTAAGAAAGGAGGTGAACCCAGCTACCTATTGTTTATAAATTTAATTTGCACTCATTATCTCTTTAATCCACTCCCAAAATCTTGCATAGCCCATAGTGGCTTAATGCTCCTACAGGCTGGATAGGCTCAGGCAAGTTGCTTGACCTCTCTGAATCTCTGAGCCTTAAGTTTCCAATGGGTTTTAAAGGGATAATAATTATGTAAAAAAGTTACAGTGAGGTTTAAGTTCTATTATATACGAAAAAGATAAACACAATATGTACTGTTGATAGTATTACTATCATTATTATGAGAAAAATATGCTCAAAGTAAAGGGATTAGGTTGGACATGAGAGAGGAGGTGAAAGCAAAGGGACAGAGGAAGGTAGAATAATATAATAGTAATAGTAAGAAGGATAGCAATGACTCCACCAACATTTACTGAGAGCTTACCAAGTACCTTCTGCATGCCATGGACACAGGCACATGTAATGTCTTTTAACTTTTCACAAGCATACAGGTGAGTATTGTGTTCCTCTAGTTAACAGACGAAAAACTGAGGTTACCTGCTGATAAGCCAGGATGCAAACCCAGGGCTGTGATGCCCTCCTCTCTGGAGGCTGGGGCAACTCAGAGCTGGAAAGGTCAGAAAGCAGCCCCTCTGTACCTGAGCTCTCTACATCTAACGCCTTCCAGGGTTTCAGGGTTCAGACTGAAGACATATCTGGCTAGAAGGTGGTGGCCAGGCCCAGCCCCCACCTCAAGCCTCAGCGTAACTCCAGTGTCCACAAAGATTGACTTCAGGGCCCTCTGTCTAAATTGTCCTCACTACTGTCTTTCTAATGCCCATTTCCTAGGACTAATCATAAGAATACTTCCTAGACAGTACCCCTGGCCCCACAGTAAAACTTGTCACTTCTACAGTTCATTTTCTAAAACCTTTTAGAAAAATAATTCATGCTAGGCTGTGAATGGCTATCATGTCTAACTCTAGCTTCTCCCACGTTATGTTTCACAGATCACTCATAATGCAAGCTCCTTCACCAATGAGAAAAAGGAAAAGAATAATAATTGTTATTTGGTCAAGTAAGTTTTGGAAACTTTTAATTCTCTTTTTTTTTGAGACAGAGTCTCAATCTGTCACCCTGGGTAGGTCAGCCCTTCCAGGCTGACCAAATTGTTATTTGGTCAAATAAATTTTGGAAACTCTTAATTCTGTCTTTTTTTTTTTTTTTTGAGACAGAGTCTCAGTCAGTCACCCTGGGTAGGTCAGGCTGGTATGGCGTCAGCCTAGCTCACAGATACCTCGTACTCTTGGGCTCAAGCAATCCTCCTGCCTTAGCTTCCTGAGTATCTGGGACTTTAGGCACCCACCACAATGTCCAGCTTTTTCCTGACCTCAAACAACCCACCCACCCGCTTTAGCCTCCTAGAGTCCTAGGATTACCAGTGTGAGCCACTGTGCCTGGCCTCTTAATACTCTGTTTTCCCTTTTAGAGATTCACAGTACATGTTAAACTAATGTAGGCTCTGAGAAGTCCTGCAGGATAGACACCAACAATGCACAAATCTATGGGGCATAATTTATTTTTTCAAGGAAGAATGGAACATCTGTGTAGCAGTCTTTAATAAATCCTGACTATGGATCCATGAAAGTGTGGGGATAATATCTGTCTCTCCTGACTACAAGTATGTAAATCCCTCAAGGCAAAAGATTTTGTCTGTTTTTTCCCCTATTGGATGCTCAGGGCCTATTATAGTGTTTGCTGTGTAGTAGATGATTGATGAATGTTTGATGAATGAATGAATGAATGAATGAATTAGTGAGTGAACGAAGGAGCAAGTAAATCTGTATTCTACTCCTGACTTTGCCTTTAACTTGCTGTATGGCCTCAGGCGAGTCCTATTTCTCTGCATGTTAAAAAGGGATGAGATAAAATTACACATTCTCAATAGAATTTCTAGCATAATAGCCAAGAAGTGAAAATTGATCTCGGGGAGCAAAAACAAGATCTTTTCGTGTATAAAGCACAGGTGTACATACAGGGTACATATAGATATGCATTATACTGACATTATATTGTGGTATTAAAACTTCATAGGGGGAGGCAATTAGGAAAATAATGTCCAGAAAGACTCTTTAGGGAGGTGATGATGAAAATAATCAAAATGGCTAAGAAAAATTTGACTTGATGATCTAGGAGGTTCCTTCCAGATCTGCCAGTTGATCAACATTTGCCTCTAGGGAGAGGGTGTGGGTGGTAATTTCTGAGGTAAGAGTGTTTAGGAACAGGGAACAGCAAGAGCCAAAAACCTCAGATGGGAATAAATCCAGTGTTACGGGCTGAATTGTCTGTCCTCATTTGAAATAGCTCAGTTAGAAGGAAGTTAGACCCATCTGCATTCTGTCCAGATTCACATGTTGATCCCCAAGAATGTGACCATATATGGAGATAAGATCCTCAAAGAGGTAATTAAGTTAAAAATGAGGCATTAGAGTGAGGCCCAAATCCAAGAAGGATGTTGGACATCCTGGACCAGGAGGAGCTTCAGGAGAAACCGACCTGGTTGGCACCTTCAACTTCAACTTCCAGGCTCCAGAACTATGAGAAAATACTTTTCAGTAGTTTAATACCCCCCACCCTGGCCAAGGTGTGGTGTTCTCTTACAGCAGCCCAAACAGACTCACACTGGAATCATAAAGTAACAACCCATGGAGGGACATGAGATCAGAGAGGTTACAGGGAGAGACCGATGTTGGTGAGCCTCATAGGACTGGAAAAAATACTGTTTTGAGATTTTTTTTTTCTTACAATGGGACAGAGAGTGTGGCAGGTTCTTAAGCAAGAGAGTGACAAGGTCTGCCTTGCATTTTTAACAGTATCATGCTAGCTACTGGATGGGGAACAACTCATTCAGGGTCAAAGACAGACGCAGAGAGACCATGAGGAGGAGAAAGAAGAGGGTGCCTCCAACCAGGAAGGAAACAGTGGGGAGGGCAGTAAGTGGTCAGAGTCTGGTACCTATTAGGAGTAGAGCCAGTAGGAATTGCCAGTGGATTTGATTGTGGGATATGAGAGAAAGAAAGGAGTTAGGGATCATTCCAAATGTTTGGCCTGAACAACTGGAAAAGTGGAGCTTCTGCTTTGGATGGGTTCCATGTGAGGTGTGTTGGGTACATCCAGGTGGTGGTAGCAAGAGGCCACTGGGTATTCAGGACAGAGCCCAGAGGGGAGGTCTGAATACATGTAAGCACCAAGGAGGGTCTTCCCCATCCCCCATCATCTGTCCTGGTACTACAGCCCCACTGTGCTTCCCCCACCACAGCCCCTATTACAGAATATTTCCAATCTGCTAAGTACTTGTCTATCTTGCCCGACCAAACTGAGTGAGAGAAAGGACTTCGTGTGTCTTATTTACCATTGTATTTCCCAGGAAGTAGGTCCCAGGCCAATGATCTGTTGAATAAATGGGATGATGTGTACAATGAGGGGTTAAAAATTACTAATTGCCTATGTTCCTAAACATTTCCCTTCCTTTCCCAAACCAGATAATGTTATTTTTTCCAACAGGCTGTTTGGCTCCCCACTCCTTTCTGTCCCTATTAGACTGATGGGGATGTTTGTGGGCAGAGGAAGATGGGCCTGGAGAGCCTGTAAAAAGAACCAGAAGGAACCAAGAGAGAGTAAGAGGGGAGAGACAGAGAAGAGAAAGAGAGAAAAAGGAGAGAGAGAGAGAGAACAATCTCACCACTCAGGCTGCAAGTGGAATGGGTGTTTATTTCTTTGTTTTATAGACTTTCTTTGGAGTGTGGAGGGTGGTAAATGGGAGACCACAGGGTAGGACATGGAAGAGAGAATTTGGAAGAAAGAAATGAAGTATGAGAATGAGAAAGAGCCTCTTTCCATGCATGGCTTTGAAAACCACAAATGAGGAATGATTTATCGGGAAGACATAGCAATCATAAATCTATGTATACCTAATAACAGAGCATTACATTTCCTGAAGGAAAAAAAAATCAGGAAGCAAAATGGACAAAACTAAGGGGAAAAACAGATAAATCCAAATAACCAGTAGTCCCATTTCATTAATTGATAAAAACGGATATTTTAAATGTCAGCAAGGATATGGAAAAATCTAACCAACACTACCAACTGACTTGACCTAACAGTTACAGAACAGTATACCCAACAAATGCAAAAAGATAAATAATTTTCAAGTGCACCTTTAAGTCTATCAAAAATAGACCATTCTGGGCCACAAAACAGAATTTTCATTTTAGAAAATCAAAATCTTATAGAAGATGTTCTTTGACCACAATGGACTTAAAAATATAATCAATAACATCAGAATATCTACAAAATCCCAAAGTATTTGGAATTCAGATAACATACATTTAAATAACCCATGGGTCAAAAGCAAACAAAACCATGACAATAACTAGAAAATATCAAACTGAATGATAATGAAAACACATGAAATTAAAATTTGTGGGAAGCAGCTAAAGCCATACTTGGAGGGAAATTTATAGCTCTAAATGACTATGTGAGTTGGGGGAGAGAGGCCTAAAATTCATGACACACGAATCTAACTTTTAAAGGCTAGAGAAACTTAGAACAAAGTAGATCTGGTGTGAATAGAAGAAAGGAAATTATAATGTTAAGAGTAAAAAAAAAAAAAATCAATGAAATAAAACACAAACTCTAGAGAAAAATTAACAAAGCTAAACATTAGTTCCTTGAAAAGATTAATAAAACTGAAAAGCACAGCTAATACTGGACCTTCTGTTTTTATTACTTTGAGTTTTTTGTGCTGACGGTGCAGGGACTGGCCCACATGGATGCTGGGCTCACACGGGTTACAATGGGAGGCAGGAGAGAGCAGGTAACAGCCTCCAGAACCCCGCCCTTCCGGACAAGTAGGCATGCGCCCCTCCGTGCCTGGCCCCTGCTCACTGCTGGATCCTGCGGATGCTCTGCACCTGGAAGGTCTGGGCGTGAGAGCCCCACTCTCGGAAGTGCTTGTAGTCACCCGAATGGTGATCACACTCCAGCACATACTGAAAACCTCGGTAGCCAGGAAACTGGGAGCAAACCCAGCTGGAAAAGGGAAGAGGCAGACAGTTACCCCACAGAGGCAACAGCATGGTAATCAAGACAGAGGCAAAGGGATCCGTGCCACAGACACATTCCAGCCATCCCATCCTGGCCCTCCTTCAGAGCCCAGCTTTCTCCTCCCACTAGGCCTTTGATCATGCTGTCCCCTCTGCCAGGAACACCGGTTCAGTCTTTCTTTGCTTGGCCAAATTGTATTCGTCCTTTAGGCAGCAGCTCAATCATCACTTCATGAGGGAAGTCTGATTCATTCCCCATATCAGGCCATCTTTGTAGCACGCATGTAACTCAATAATTTTCAAATTATTTGTAAAATGTAAACCTCATTGCTTCTCGGCCTTTTGGCTAAAATCAAGTGAAATGTCAGCCTCTGTTTCCCCTTCTGTGAAAGAGGAAGTGGACTGAAGAATCATAAGGGGTCCATCTTTCTCTAAAACAACATGACCCTTCAATGGTTTCTGAGAAAACTAAAGACAAATAAACAGACAAAAACATAAAAACAATAAAAACAAATAAAACCTACCTCCCACCTTCACCCCTGCCTACCAGGAGCCAAAGGGCACCTCAGAAAATGTCTCTGATGTCCTTCTTAAATAAGGACCTCACACCTCAGCCTTCACCTGCCACCTCCCGGGAGAAAAGGATGGGACAGTTTCCTTATGTCTGGGCATCCTTTCTCCTCTCTTCTGGTCACCTCTCTCAGTCAAGATGGGAAAATAGGGCTGACTCTGGTCACCTCTCTCAGTCAAGATGGGAAAATAGGGCTGACTCTAATAATGAGCACATGACCTGACCTAGCCAATCAGAGAACCACATTCATGTGGGCTTGGTAATTGGTTCAAAGTTGAGCATGTGACCCAAGTTGGACTAATAAGCACCTTTCTTGGAATCTTTGATAGATTCATTGAGAAAGACACACTGTCTTTCCCTAAGACTGGAATGTAAAGAAGAAGCCACCATCTTTGACTTTACACAGGAAGAGTTCATCTAAGCATATAGCCACACAAAGGCCGGCAGAGCAAGAAGAGAAAAGAGAGATCCCTGCAGTGGAACCTGAATCCACCAGTACCTGAAGTTAATTACAGGGACCAATAAATATCTCTTGGGCTTAAACCAATTTGATCTGGGTATCTGTCACTTTGCAATCCCACAAATGCTGCCTAATGCTTCCCTATGCCTCAGTGCTCTCCTTTGAAATGTTGACATCAGAGCACAAAAGCCCTCAGCACACAGTTTTCACAGAAAGTATCCCTACCCCTCCCCAAATCCTTTCTTTCCCCTGTAACAAGAGTTTTGGATACACTTACGCCCCTGAGTGGACATGGAAGGAGCCCACTTCATTGCCATCCCAACCCATGGCCTGGAGGGAGGGATAGTCATCACTCAACTCTCCTTTCCTGCCCAGGAAGTTCTCTTGCTCGAAGATGGTCAGCCTTGAGTCACGGTGATTCTACAGGTACAGAGAACAGGGTCAAATCACCTGGAGCCTCTGCTGGCCCCCACACCCCCACCCTTGTCTCGCAAGCCAGCCTTTCTTACAAACCTTTTGGAAGAGCAATAAGGCAGCAGGTACTATAAACCTTACAAGAAGTATACCATTTTCCCTTCCAGAAATTCACACAAAGAAAATAATCATGGGCCAGTGTCTGTGGCTCAAAGAAGTAGGGCACCAGCCCCATATACTGGAGGTGGCGGGTTCAAACCCGGCCCTGGACAAAAACTGCAAAAAAAAAAAAA